ATCCAAGCATCATCCTTTTCTCCACAAAACAATCGCCAACTATCTTCTGCATATTCTCCCATACCAAATAATTCCCTTGGAGAGGAAAAATTAGGCCTGATCAAATATGATTGCGAAAATTTTATAATTCGTTCTGCTCGAATGTTTCTGAAAATTATAGGGTCTTAATCACTTTGTTTATGGGTATGATTTTTATAAAATCGAATAAGATAGAAAATTTATACTTACTGCAATCCAAGAGGGCGTAAAAGATCGGCCAATTTATTGATATCAGCCTTAATTGCAATTTGTGGTGTTGGATATTCATCTAAAAATTTCCACAAAAATGGTAATGCTTGACTGCCTCGAGTACGATTCAAAAACATAGTCGCAATGAGGTGCTGTCAATCCAAATATTGATATTTGGAAAAATTTATTTACATTATTAAAAAGGTACCAGTAACTATAACGTATGTTTCTTGTATAATTAATTACCTTCCAAGGATCATAATACAATGATTCTTGGACAAGATTATGAGGAGAAGGCATCGGGATGTATTTTGGTACAAACTGTGCAATCTTTTTTTCTGCAAGCACATCCAAATCGATCGAAGAAGATAAATCCACCCTCTTTTTGGATGATTTTTTCACTGTAGGTTCATTCACATGAATTTTGTTATCCCTTACTTTTTTGAATACATGTTTATTATCGATACACTTTTTTGTGGGTAGAAAGTATTTAGAAACAGTTTCTATTCTCTGTGATAGTTTTGATATGTTTTGGAAATATGGGCTAACTGTTTTACTAAGTTTTTTAGTCTGATGTTTCTTTGGCATTAGAGGACAATTATCACAAAATTCCTGAGCAAGAATAGAAAAATTTTAATTGATTTATAATTTTTGAAATCGATGAAAAAACTTATCGCACCAATCGAAAGAGATTATCAAAATCAAAGGGTTAGGGTTCGCCATCTCGAAAAATTATTTCACGGCCCGGTCCTTCATGCCTTGAATCATATGATATTTGGATCTTATTTAATACTGTGTCGTTAGGTAGAGTTATTACTGGAATACTCCAGACTATAATGAAACATATAATTCGCTTCTGGAGTGCTCCGGAGTGGGTTATATGTTTTATTATTGACTGGAGTACTCCATTAACAACCCTAACTTTGACTCAAAAGTCATGTGAAATGATTTGCTTGGCAATTTAACCGATTCATTTTTGATACTTCCGCACCTACTTTTTTGATACATCTTAACGTACCCTAAAACTAACCAATAAGATTGCACGTTATTATAGAAAAGTTAGTAAAAAGTATAGAAATTTTAGGGTATGTTTAGGTGTATCAAAAAAATTAGGCACAGAAATATCAAAAATGAATGGTTTGCCTCAGAGACAATATGAACAGTAAAATTCGCGTGATACTACCTAAACCAATAATATTATTTCGATTCTAAGTAAAAATTTCGATCAATTTAAGTAAAAGTTTCGATTTATTTCGCTCAATTAAAAGTAAAAAATTTAAGGGGAATTTACATATAAGGACCCGAAAAATG